ATACATTTTGCTTCAATTCTGAAATGAATTTGAACACACAGGTATCAGACAACCTCCCAATCTGTTAGGAGAACGACAATTCACAAAGTGCTTTCGCATACATGATCTTATTTGACCATCACATGAACCATGCAAGGTAGAAAAAACATATCATGATCTTCATTTTTGACATGATAAGATTGTAAAGATGAGTCTAGCACAAAGTCAAACCGCTGGAATTAGAGCCTAAGTCACTGGTCCTCCATTGAGAGAATGATGCTTTATCCACTGTGCAAGACAGCCTTCCTGATAACCTCTTGTGATTTATGTTAAATCACCAAACTATCCCTCTCAAACTAACTCTCTTTCAGTGGTCCACCATGCAGTCACAAAATACTCTACAGTCCTGGGATCCCTGGGTGGTGCAGCGGTTTGGTGCCTGCCTTTGGCCCAGGGCATGATCCTGGAGACCCGGGATCGAATCCCACGTCAGCCTCCCGGTGCATGGAGCCTGCTTCTCCCTCTGCCTTGTGTCTCTGCCTCTCTCTCTCTCTCTCTCTCTCTCTCTCTCTCTCTCTCTGTGTGTGTGACTATCATAAATAAATAAAAATTAAAAAAAAAAACTCTACGGTCCTACTGAGAGGAATGATGTTTGCGGTTGGTCTGGACCCTCTTCCCTTCTCTCTGCATGCTGCCTCTACAATCTAATCACAGGCACCAATAGTACCTCCATGCAAATGACACCCAAATTTGTATCTGAGAGGCCACACCTCTCTTCCGAGCACTGAGCAGGTACATAAAATTGCATAGTTGACATCTGGATGTGTCAGTATGTACAAAACCTCATCTTCTGACCTTATCACATCCCCTGCCACTGCCAAAACCCAATTCTCTTCTGATGTTTTTCCTCTCAAATACCTATCTGGGAAGCTAGGAATCATCTTGACATTTCCTCTCTCTGTCCTCCACCAATCCTGTCTATATCCAATCTAATACCAAGTTCTTCCACTTTTACCTTCTGCAGAGCTCTCTATCCTTCCATTTCTTTCCTTCCCCTCACCAGCACCTTAGTCCCAGATAGCCTCCTCTTCCATTTGGACTTTTATGGATTCCTAGCTGGTCTGTTCCTCTCCAATACTCTCTCCCCACCATAGCCAGGAGGATTCTTCCAAAATGCTGTGTTGGTCATGACACTCCTACCCCACCCCTGCTTAGAGCACTTCATGGCATCACATTTTTTTAAGGTCAGGGCACAAACCCATAACTGGCTCACAGGTCTCTGCCCTATCTGGGCCTGCCGGCAGCCTCATCTCATAACACCAGCTTCCTTTTCTCCCATTCCAGCCCCACTCCCCTTCTGTCTGCCCCTCTCACTCACAGGCTTTCATTTGCCACATGGCTGGCCCTACAAGATTCTTCCCTGCCTACCTAAATTCCTAGAATTAAATGTTCTAGAAGCCTCCATCTTCAAACAGTCTCAAGGGTTTTTCCTCAGAGAAACCTTTCTTGACCTCCTTGAGTTACATTCCCTCATTATACTTTATAGGGCACTAATTTGACATGACTTTGTGGTTTTAATTAATGTCTGTCTCCTCTACTAGATTTGTAAACTTCTGTTCACCATCATATATGCCCTGTGCTGTGCTAAGCTTGGCACAAAGAGGCACAACCATGTTTATTACATCAAGGTGAGTAAATGAATAAGACCACTAAGGAAATGGTTGCATAAATATACATCCTCATTATGGAACACTAAGCAGCTGTTAAAAAGAATGAGACATCTGGGCAGCCCCGGTAGTACAGTGGTTCAGTGCCACCTGCAGTCCAGGGTGTGAGCCTGAGACCTGAGATCGAGTCCCACATCAATCTCCCTGCATGGAGCCTGCTTCTCCCTTTGCCTGTGTCTCTGCCTCTCTCTCTCTCTCTATCTCTCTCTCTCTGTGTCTCTAATAAATAAATAAAATCTTAAAAAAAAAAAGGAATGAGACATCTATATTTACTAATATGGAATGACGTTCATGACATATTACTGACTAAAAGCAGTACATTACACAACACTGTGCATACTATGATCAGTTAATTTTTAAATCTATGTATGCCTTTATTTTAAAAACAACAGGGGCATCTGCGTGGCTCAGCCAGTTGAGCATCTGCCTTCAGCTCAGGTCATGATCCCAGGGTCCTGGGATCGAGTCCCACATTGGTCTCCCTGCTCAGCGGGGGCCTGTTTCTCCCTTTCCCTCTGCCCCTCCTCCCTGCTCATACTCTCTCTCTTTCCAATTAATTAATTAATTAAAACAAGAAACCTCTGGGCGCACCTAGGTGGCACTTAGTCAACTAAGAGCATCTGCCTCTTAGTTTCGACTCAGGTCATGATTTCAGGGTCATGAAATCGAGCCCCACATCAGGCTCCACATTCAGTGTGAAGTCTATTTGGTATTCTCTCTCCTTCTCATGCTGCCCCTCCCTATCCCACACTTGAGCTCTCGCTCTCTCAAATAAATAGATAAATAAATTCTAAAAAGAAAAAAACTACCTCTGTATGTATGCATAGGTGTGTATGTGTTTAAAGGGCCTGCAAGACCAGTGGGAAACTGCTATAAGAGAGTGAGAATAAGACAAGCTAGAGAAAAACAGAATAATTTCTATTCATAAACTGCTTGCTGCTTTGACATTTTTCATGTCATGATTTTAACAATACCACTTTTAAAAATGAGACAATTCACTAAAGTTTAGGAAATGGTTTCTAGTTACAGCAAAAAATAATAATAAAAACAATAATAATCACTTTGTATGGGATTCCTCAATAATAGCAAAGTTCCAGAAGCCAGCATACTTGCAGAACAGAGCTTCAATCCAGCAATAAGCTGTGGCAAAGATGCCAAAGGAAGAGAATAATGAGACATGCCAGCATTTGTTTGCTTAATTTGCTTCCCTTCACATGACTTTCATAAACAATAAATATTTTGAAAAATCACTGCTTAGTGGTTCACTTAAACAATCTGAGAAACAAAGTAAGTGAAAGAAATAAGAGTGTACATTTTCCTGAGTTTAATTTTTTGGTTGAATACAAGTGGTTATGTGAGGACACCTTTATTTCTCTTCACTTGCTAAATAACAAATCTTTTTGGTCTTTGCCATAGCTCCAAAGACAAGATAGCTTCCTAAAGCAACAACCTATGTGGCGTTAGGAGCAAGAGCAAATATACTGGCAATGTATAGACAAGATGAATCCATGGCTAATAGCACAAAACCTCACTCGGGTTGTTGAGAGAAGTGCTTGCAGGTGGACAAACCCACAGTTAGTGAAAAAGAAGAGGTAGGTGCGTGGGAGTGATTTCTCCAGCAGCCAGCCTGCAAGGAAGAGCTGGGGAGTCTGTGAATATAGAATAAGTGCTGTCACTTGGAGCCGCATTGATTCTTTTTTCAGACTAATGGCTCAGATGGTGGAAAAACCAAACGATGACTAAAATATGAGTCAAATGCTTTCAAATCAAATCATTCCAATGAAGCAGGAATATGGCAAGCAGAGAGCAGGTCATTAGAGGTTCTAACCAATACTTGTTAAACCCGATGAAATTCACTCACCTTAATGACTGCCTCTTTCAATCTAAGTCATTTTGACATTAGTGGGCTGAGGACAATCGATCTTTATTGCTAGTGACACCAACTGATCAGCTCTGAACAGAGGGAAAGGTAGCTCCTGGCTGTGCTTGTGCACTTGTCCCAATCCTGATTTGTCTCCCTTTTCTCCTGGGGTCTGTCCAGCATGTCTTCAATTATCCCAAAGGACGTCAGGAAATTTTAGAATTGGCCTCAGAGTTGGTGTCTCGATATTTTTGAAACACAACTTTCATTTAAATACAAAATAGCTCATTTTAAGAAGAAGTAAGGTTGGGGGGAAGCATAAGGAGAGGCTTACCATTAAATGGAACCTCAGGGCACACAGCTCCCAGAAGGTGTGGAAGAGGCGCAGCATGGGCTCTGACCCTCACAGAAGTACCACATGGCCCACAAGAGACCCAAGGGGGTTTTCCCCTCTCCCTCCTTCTGCTACTTTCTGAGTTTCAAATTCTTTCCCCAAATGTTCACTCCTTATTTTACAATTCAATTCTTCCAGAAGCTTTTTTGGTGAGATCCTGAGAAGACAGGTGTTTCCAAATGGCCTGAGATACTTCTCAGAAAACAAAGCCTCTTACCACATTTATTGGAATAAAACGTCATGAAGAATAAGTAAAAGTATCTTATCCCTGTAGTGGTGTCAGGTATCTCTTTTATCACCATCCCACCACTCTTGTTTTTTGGGAATATCACTCACAGAGTAGGAGTAGTAGAGAACAAAGTTTGGCATCAACAAATGTAGAGGGCTTCACCCCACAGACCAGAGACTGTGAGCAGAGACTGGAGCTTATTTCAGCCTAAGCTGGACACTCTATTCACACTCTCTGTTCTCTTCCCTGAATGTATTCATTTAGGTGTGACAGTAATATGTTGTGGGGTTTGTTTTTTTTTTTACATTTTTATTGTGGTAAAACATACATAAGATTTTTTAAATGACCATTTTAACCATTTTTCAATGTATAGTTCAATGACATTAAGTACATTTGCATTGTCATGCAACCATCACCACCATCCATCTCAAAAACTTTTGTTTTCCCAAACTGAAACTCTGTACTCACTAAATAATGACTCCCCATTTTGTCGCCCACCCTACCCCCAGGCTCTAGCAACCACTATTCTACTTTCTATCTCTAGAAATTTGACTTTTCTCAGTACTTCCTGTAAGTGTAATCAAACCATATTCATCCTTTTGTGACTGGCTTATGTCACTTAGCATAGTGTCTTCAACGTTCATCCATGTTGTAGCATGGGCCAGAATGTCCTTTCTTTTAAAGACCAGATAATATTCCATTGTTTAGCTATTCCACATTCGGTATACCCATTCCTCTGGGATGGACATTTGGCTTGTTACCAAGGTAATGTATTCTTAACTTATTCCCACAATTTAGACTTGTATATAATTTAAAATTAATTCAATTTATTGAGTGTTTAATAAGGGTAACTCACTGTGCTAGGTATTGTGGGAGATACAAAGGTGAATCAGACATAGTACCTACTCTCAAGGAACTTAACGCTACATTGGGAGAGGAGAAAAAGAAGGAAAAGTGACTAGCATTTGCTAATAGATTACCACACACCAGGTACTTTGCCCAATCACTGCATGTATGGCTCATGGCAACATTATGAGGTAGATACTATAATATCTACTTTCCAGTGAGAAAATGAAGGCTCGTGGAGCTTCGGTAACCACCTCTGAAGTGGTGAGACTGGGATTCAAACCCACATCTTAGATACAGAATCCTGTGTTCATTCTATTAGACCAGCTGCTCCTTTTGGTGCAAGACAGAATGTGACAAATCCTGAGAGAAAAGCTACAGGAAGGTGGAAGGGAAGAATTGAGCACCCTCCTGAGGCGACAGGCCAGCCTTGGAGGTCAGGAGGGCTTATGTTTGACAAAGATACGGAAGTAGAGGAAACCGCCTGAGCAGAGCAAAGGAAGATTGGCAGGAATTTCTGTAAGTGTGTACAGAGAGGCCGAGGTGTTGTGTGACATAAGGCTGCGAGGCAGAGCAGGCACAATCAAGGGCATAAAGAAAGGCTAGTTCGAAGAGTCTGAACTCCACCATGTAGGCAATGGGAAGCCATTGCAGGTTTTGAGTCAAAAAACAGTCACAGCTGTCCTTTGGGAAGGTCACCATGGCAACAATGTATAACAAAGATGGAGGAGTGGGGCGGTAGTTTAAAGCCAGTTAGGAAGCTACTGGAATTAGCAAATGAGACATAATTAGGCAGAATGGGAAAGAGGATATGGATGTGAGAGATTCTCTTAGAGGTTGGGATGACAGAACCTGGCCATTGATGCATTATGAACAGGATGACCATACAGCCTGCTTTGCCTGGGACCCTGGTTTCCCTGGTTTAATTACAAATAGCATCCTTTCACATTCAGACATCCAAGTTAGGACAATAAAGGATATGTCACACTAATTACGAGGAATAAGAAAACAGAATCAAAGGTGACTCTAAAAGACTTTGAACCTGGATTAATAAGGAAAGTGGTAACACCTTTAGAAACACAGGAGGGAAAAAAAAAAGAAAGAAACACAGGAGGGAAATGAGGTTTTTTGGAAAGATGATGAATTTGGATTTGGACATGCTGAGTTTGCTGCTGAGGCGAGGATTCATTTAAGGGAGATAAGCACCTTGCCCGTGGATTTGCGCTGTATCACATGAAGGAAGGCATCATTGACCTAAAAAATTAAAAAAAAAAAAAAAGTGGTCACACTCGCATATTGCAATAAACATTTGCTGGTAGTCTGAATCTTAATAGTTAAATATTAAGATGTGTCTCCAATGAACTATATACAGCTAACTATGCAATACTAACTAAATAATCACCACAAACTCAAAGGAAAACAATAATATTTACGAATAACCCAACCTCAGAATTTTTCGGTCTAAAGTATAATTTTCAATGATGTCAGATAAATGACAGCAGGTAAAAAGCCTCCAGGCCTGTCCATAATCTTTTGCAATATTTCATTGTCTTCTAGTTTTTGAAAGAATGCAGCCACTGCCAGAAAAATCAATAGTTTAATATTTTACAACTTTTATCTTTTTATTAAAATTGTCCTGTTTCCAATGTAACTGAAGTTGCAATCTATCTCAAATCCTATTTTTTAGAAGAATAATGTTATAAAACATAAATTAAGAAACAGCCGCAGTAATCAAGACAGTGTGATACTGGCAAAAGAATAGATAAACAGATCAATGGAACAGATTAGAGTCCAAAAATAGACCCACACAAATATAGGCAACTGATCCTTAACAAAAGAGCAAAGGGAATTCAATGGAGAAAAGAAAGCCTTCTCAAGAAATGTTGCTAGAACTACCGGACCTCCATATGTAAAAAAAATAAATAAATAAAGAAGAAGACGAAGAATCAAGACACTATACATCTTTCACAAAAGTTAACTTAAAATTAATCCTACACCTAAATGTAAAAGGCAAATCTATAAAACTTCCAGAGGAAAACAGGGGAAAAAAGTTCAAGGCACCTTGGATCTGGCACTGAGCACCAAAGCATGAACCATAAAAGAAAAATTGTTTAAGTTGGATATCATAAAATTACAAACTTCTGTCTGCGAAACACACTTGGGAAAATGAGAAGACCAGCTACAGCCTGGGAGAAAAAATCTTTGTAAAATGCATGTCTAATCAAGAACTTGTATCTAAAATATACAAAGAATTCTTCAAACTCAACAATAAGATGGGTTCCCTAGCTGGTTCAGTCAATGGAATGTGCAGCTCTTGATCTCAGAGTTGTAAGTTCGAGCCCCACGTTGGGTGTGGGAATGACTTCAAAATAAAATATTAAAAAAAAAAAACCCTCAACAACAAAAAAAAAAAAAACAACCCAATTAAAAAGCAGCAAAAAATCTGAACAGACAGCTCATCAATTAAAGACAGATGGTAAAAAGCACATGAAAAGATGTTAAACATTGTAGGTCATTAGAGCAATGCACAAGTAGAACAAGATACCACCACACACCTATCAGAAGAGCTAAAATCCAGAGCACTGACAGCACAAGATGCTGGCAAGGATGTGGAACAATAGGAACTTTTCATTCATTGCTGGTGGGAATACAACATGGTACAACCACTCTGAAGGACAGGTTGGTAGCTTCTTACAAGGCTAAACATAATCTTACCATGGGATCCAGCAATCACATTCCTAGGTAATAGACTGAAAACTTATGTCCACACAAAAACCTGCACACAAATGTTTACAGCACCTTTATTCAAGATTGTCAAAGCTCAGGAGCAACTAAGATGAATGAGAATGAGTAAACAAACTATGGTACATCCAGGCAATGGGATATTATTCCATGATAAGAAGAAATGAGCTATCAAGCCACGAAAAAACATGGGAGAACCTTAAGTGCATACTGTTAAGTAAAAGAAGCCGGTCAGAAAAGGATACATACTATATGATTCCAACCATATGACATTCTGGAAAAGCCAAAGCTATAGAGACCGTAAGATCAGGGGCCTTCAAGGATCAGGGTAGAGAGCAGGGGTGAAAACGTGGTGCCCAAGGGATCCTTTAGAGCACTGAAGCTATTCCGTATGATTCTGTAATGATGGATACATGACATACATTTGTTTTGGTAAAACCTATACCACTATACAGCACAAAGAGGGAACCCTAATGTAAACTGTGGACTTAGAGTTAATAATTATTATCACTATTGGTTTGTTAATTATAGCAAATGTACCACACTAGTGCAAGATGTTAACACTAGTGGAAACTGGGTGGTAGGAGAAGAAATACATGAGAATGCTCTTTACTTTCTGTTGAATTTTTCTATAAACCTAAAACTGCTGAAAAAGTAAAGTCTCTTGATTCTTTTTTTTTTAAGATTGTATTTATTCATGAGAGATACAGAGAGAGAGGCAGAGCCATAAACAGAGGGAGAAGCAGGCTCCCTATGAGGAGCCCCATGTGGGACTTGATCCCAGGACCCCAAGATCACACCCTTAGCCAAAGGCAGATGCTCAACCACTGAGCCAACCAAGTGCCCCAAATCTCCCGATTCTTAATAAGTAATAAATGCAAAAAATTAAAATTGGAAAAAGAAAAGAATGGAGGAAAATAGAAGTGTCATTATTTGCATACAACATAATAATCTACATAGAAAAACTAGTCAAAGCACAGACAAGCAAATAAGAAAAGTCAGCAAGATTGTGAGGGATGAGATCAACTAACAAAAATTACTGACATTTCTCTGTATCGAATATAATCAACCAGGAAATATAACAGAAATAAAATAGTGCTCTCCAAGGCAACAAAAACAGTAAAGTACTTATAATTAATATAACTAAGAATGATCCACAAGACTTTATGGAGAAAAACTTTAAGATTTAAAAACTTGAAAAGATCTGAATAAATAGCAATATATCCCTGTTCACAAATGAAACAACCTAACATTGCAAAAATATCAATATCCCTCCCCAAATTAATCTATAAAGTCAATGCAATTCCATTCTAAATTTCAGCCAGATATTTTTTAGGAACTAAATAAATCTATTCCAAAATTTATCTAAAAGGATAAAGATTCCCAAAGAGCTAAATCAAATTTAAAAAACAACTGTGGTAGAAGAGTGACCCTTCCAGATATTAAAATATACTTCAAAGCTACAAAGATAAAAACAGCATGATACTATTATAGGAACAGAAATCTGAACCAAGGAAATAGAAAAGAAAGCAGAGTGTATCTGGGAACCTGAAATAAGATGGAGGTAGCACCACATGAATCAATGGAGAAACAATGAACTACTGGTCCAGGAAAACTCACTCACTACAAGGAGAAAAATAAAACTTGGTTACCTGATTTATATCCAATACAGAGGTGACTTCAGATGGATTAAATCCTTACGTGTGAAATAAAAGTATAAAGTTAGTAGAGAGGGGTGCCTGGGTGGCTCAGTCTGTTAGGTAGACTCTTGATTTCAGCTCAGGTCATGATCTCAGGGTCCTGGGATCAAGCCCTGCGTTGGGCTCCATGCTCAGCAGGGAGCCTGCTTATGATTCTCTCTCCCTCTCCCTCTCCCTCTATCCCTCCCTCCACTCATGCACTCACTCTCTCTCTCTCTAAAATAAAGCAATATTTAAAATAGAGATGAAGATCACTCTGCACCCAGATATGACAGGACTTTTTAAACATGTCCCAAATAGCACTAACCCACAAGACAAAATATCGATGTGTTTGATTACATTAAATATAGACAAAGGTGACAGAGAAATGACAAATTTGGAAGGACAGACTTTTGCAAAGTCACAAACTAACATCTAGAACCTTGCTACTCTTGGGCAGTTCAAGGACCGTAGGCTTCTGCGTCATCTAGGAGCTTATTAGAAATGCACAATCTGGAGTCCCCACCCACCTTTACCGAATCATAATCTGCATCTTAACATGATCCCCAGGTGATTCATATGCCCAGTAAAATTTGAGAATTACAGATTATAAAGGAACTTCTGCAAACTAGAAAGGGACAGGAAGCCCTGTAGAAAACTGCATGAAGGGCTTAAGGCTTAAGTTGCTAAACCTGAATGTTTACCAAATCTTACATTGATTAGAAATCAGGGAAATGCGAATTAAAATCACAAGATGCCACTTTATGCTTATTAGTTTGGAAAAAATTAGAAAGTAGGACAATGTTACATAGCAACAGGGTGGCAAAAAAAGAATCCACGTGCACTGCTGGCATGGGCATAAACTGGTCAAGTCAGCCTGGAGAGCAGTTTGCTGTCAAATTAAGTATGCATACATCCTGTGACCCAACAACCCTACTCCTGGGAAAATACTCCCAAAGCAACTTCGCACAAGTCCTGACTGTGAGCCTGTGAATTAGAGTGCTGATTATGGCGGCAGGGAATCAGGTCAACCCCAGAGTACATCACTAGGAAGCAGATCTGTAAACTATGGCAGGTGCACACCCCAGTCTCCAATGCAGCAGTGAGACCAATGAACTGGATACAGCACCAGCAGCACAGGTGGATCTTAAAAAAAGACAGCACTGAGTGAGAAATGAAGAAACAGAATAAGGCCTACAGCACAACCCTATGGTGTTAAATCATTTGTGTAGCTTGAAAATCAATTAGCACACAAAAACATTATGTTTTACAAGGAAATATAAATCCAAGGGTATTTACCAAACACATCATAGAGAACAAGTTGGAGGGGAGGAAGAAGTGCAGAGGGTGGTAGTGGGCAGTGAGGATAAAGGGAAGAAGTCAGTACAGACCTCCAGAAATAGACACGCATAAAAACAAAGGTCCAGCAATGCAAATGTGCTTTGAAATGAGGAATATGAATAACCAACCCTCCCCACTTGAAATCCTTCCCCAGAAAAGCATAGAAAAAGGTAACCAAATAAAAATAAACAGAGAAACCAATAAGTCAATCAAAGAAATCAATTCTCTGCAGCATGAAATCTCTGGTTTCAAAAACATCTATCTTGCAGGTCTTTGTACCTTACAGAGACCTTTCCAATCCATGTAAATTAGACACACTCCAAGGAGGTGAAAGAGGTCTAAGACACACGGTTTGAAACACACATCCCTGTCCTGTCGATCACAATCACTCGGAGGCACAGCTCCAGGTGACTCACAGCCGCATCTTTCCCTGTCAGGTAGAAGCCACTTGTTCCCAGAGATCTGTCACAGCCCAAAGACAGAAAACACTTG